TAGGGTTTGCCACATGTGTAACGAACGCTGCATACTTCTCCGACACTAATGCGCCAATAATCGCACTGTTGTCATCAAGCCAATTGGGTCAGTTACAGTTTGGGTGCCTGATCGTTTCAGGTGATGACTGTTGATTTATATCCGCGGTGTGGCTGCGCTAGATGTGAATGTTGAGAAGGTGCCTAACACACCGATAACTGGTTCAGGGAACTTCTGATCGTTACTATGGGAACTGGTGCAGGGTCTTTGCGACCGTGCTAGGGTCAGAGTGCATCTATACATCCAGTGCAAAGCGGACTACGGCCCAGCCAACGCCTTGTATACGTCTGGTACGCATGATTCCCAATTTCGATATACAAAAGGGCTATTGCTGTGTATGTTGTAGGAGTGTGGCCTGGTACGGTTGATGGAACGTGACCCCCATCCACTTGCCTCCCGGTCTTATTCCTTCGGGTTTTCATTGAATATGGAGTGTCTGGATGTCGCTGTGGGTGGTGCAGCGCAAGCCACCCATAACTCCTCTGTAGGCGCAGGCGTCCTGTGGAGGCCGCAGTGCCAGGCAAATCCGGAATCAGATGCCTCCAACCATTATATATATATATATATATATATATATATATAAAGTCTAAGGAGTATATATGTAACCATCGAAAGTGCATAGAAATCAAAGGAAATGCAGGTTTGCCTGACATAGGACGCAACATTTTTAGTTTGTTTCCTTTTTTATCATTTTCACTGTTAGAGGTATTAGACATTTGAATCAATACAATCATGTACACAGATTTTCCACTGATTCCGATTGCGAGCTTTGTATACAAACGGATCACGCCACTCGCACTATTCATCTTCGGGTCCAACGACGGTTAGTTGTGACTTCAGTGCTTTCCCGTACTGGCGCCAAGTGAAGGGCTGACCACCATATGTTCTCCCACAGGTCTTTCCTGCATGAACCGATCGGGCGCGGTGCGGAGAACGTTCAAACACCATACATTATATGTGATCTCAACTGACGCAGCAAAACCAGCTATTCAATTAGATACTCGCATTTCCAAGGACACCACTTACGTCCTCAAACAACCATTGTGGGAGACGGAAAAGCAGCATATATTCTCCACGCGAATTAGCCTGCGCTCGCTCTCATACTACAACTGAGTGACGAAGGCACTACAAACGCGGCCCTTTACCGTTATAGAGACTTCCCGACAATGCTTTGTGAGCGTCATATTGGCAAATACCGACCAGTTTTTAGTGATGCGGAGAAAAACTTCCTTGCTGATAACGCACCATCAGAAACGCAACTCACTAGTTAGGCGACGGGATCTACCTCTTCAAATTGTACACCTTCAAGGGAGAGCACGGGAGCGGATGTGGGCCAGTCCTAGCGAAAACGGAGCACATGCCATACCTAGATGCTTCAACCGCCAAACGATTCAGATTGAGTTACATGCTCCGCGGATCGTCGTCAATTGAGTTGATATGACTAGTGTCATCTAGGTCAACTGCGCACCCGCACGGTAGGATTTATAAACCACAAATATGGAAGTGTTAGAGCTCTCAACAGAATATCTTAAGTCGCAAATTGAATAGGACAATCTTGTCTTACACTGGTACTAACAGGAAAGAGTGAAAAAGCTTGTCATAAACGTCACTCTTCCAGTGACAGAGGTAAAATGCGCGTAGGATGGCCGGATACTTTATTGGACCCCGTTCCTTAGCAAGCAGGTCGATCATCTGAGTAGAATGCAGTACGAATATTTAATAATGTGACGATGATAGGTCTCTGGTACAGTTCGAGGATTCGTGGAGCGTGAAGATTTGGTCCACAAACACACGACCAGGTTGTAACCAGCTTGTTCTTCTCGCTACTATGATTCATAGGTTGGGGATAGTCTGTGCAGCATATTGGATGCCAAAAGTTTGGAAGCAACCGAGACGGGACTAATCCTTCGGTCATTGACTTATGGAATGTGGACATTTTTCTTGCAAAGCGGCCTTGGTCTTACAACTTAGGGCTGCACCTAATGCAGCCAAATTTCTCCGATACCGTTTCTGAGTCTCCAGAAAGACGCAGGTGTTATCTGGCTTCTTGGTTAGTAGGGAATGTCCGCGCAAACAGTGCTGGGGTCCTGCAGTTGGGTTTCAGAAAGACAACAGACGTCAACATCGAGGGACTCTAGGGTATGCGCTAGACCGGCTTGCTCCCCTATCTGCATGGTTGTCCGCACATTGCAGCCCGCCAGAGGGGACGAGTTTTGTATTCTAAGGAGGGTCAATGGTTGTACTCCATGGTTCGCGATGCGACCGACATCAGGTGTAGATCCATGAATACAGTGCTTCGCCGGATTGAAGCAAAGGGCAGTGATTCTTTTAATGATAAATCACGTCCGCCACGTCGCAGTGCTGTTAAACCGATATTTGTGCCTTCTTATAGCGCGAACGCTTGTCTATCTAAAACGCATCGCGTCCTGAAACAGCCGCTGAATCATTTGCTGGAACGGGAAGATCCGAAGCACTCAGTTTGCACCATAGAAAATTGTCCGGCGTGCCATTCAAGATACTCAGGGTGCACCTTGCTTCTACCAACCACTGGCTTTACCATCTTATCATCCTACTATCTTGTCGTTTATTCACTTTTTACATTTACAGATAAACTGCATTTATTACTGACTTGCTCGACTGTGGCAACGAAACGAACTAACGAGTACCAATTCACTCCACATCCACATGATTACTTGAGAACAAGACTCGGCCTTTTACTGCTGCCCTTCCAATCATTCTTCTTTTGGGCCCTTACTGACCGATTCGTATTCCATGTAACCACACTGTTAAAAATCCTACCTTGGCACCCAATGTGTATCTTGCCATTTCTGAAACAATCACTTCATTCCACTTCTTTCCTATACCATTCATGCCTCTCTGAGTGACAGTGATGAACCTATGTTTGAGTTTTTCCGATCATCATCATCATCCGGTATGTGCTTGACCGCACCTCCATGATCATGCCGAGAATAAATCTTATTTTTTTAACCCTATATAACCCAATATAAGCCGATGATTTTTTGACAATTTTTCATTTCTGTAATGGGGAGGTCGGCTTTTAAAGTGGTTATATGGAGTCAAAAAAAGTCACATGCAAGATCTACTCAGGAATTCACTCTGCACACCACTGCCCTTTTCTTCCCTTAGTACCACCCGCTATTAACGGACGGTATTCCAGACCGGGCATCTAAATACCTATAACTGGACACGTTACTTTTGTGTCGAAAATTCTCGATATATTGCACAGTTGTCGTTCGCGACGGATGGCAGTAGCGAATCAAAATCGCTTATACATTATCTTATGCCCGGCCATCCGGTGTCTTACAAGTACAAAGTCGTCATACACCCCTGACCGTGGACTTCACTCTCACCCACTTCTCTACTGTTGTACACATTCATGAGGCCCCCAGCTCACCTTACCTTGTATTTTCGGCTGTCTAGCCTGTTTCATATGACTAACACCTAGTCATTAGACTGTCCGGTGCGGTGAAAGCCTATTCTGACGGCCTCACGCCCCAGTAACGGCGATTATCACACATTACAGTCACCACAACTGATCAATGCTAGAGCAGATTGCACTTGAACCCAAACAGGTGAGAGCAGATAGTGATGACGTCAAAATCGTGCAGAAACATGACCCTGATTTTACTGTTCCACCTATCATCTGACCTCCTTTTACTTGTACATAACCAGCAATAGCTTTTTGTAAGTTTTGCTTATCTGCTTCATAATTGTACGCGCCCGAGATTTATTGAAACAATTTTCTTCGCTATTGCTCTCTTGATATCTGCATGGGCATATTTTACGAGAAACAATTTCCAGCTCTCGGGAAATACTTAGAACCGATCTTGAACTCATGATTTCAGAAGGGTTTGCAAACAATACCAACCGGTTGTTTTCAAACGTTTCAGAATCGATTTCGTTTCACTTCGTTTTTTTACTGGTCGGCTAATACCGGAACTTATCACTTTGGACAAATTTGATGTTGCATTTACACTGTCGACTTATCTATGGATGGGCTTGTATTCGGCAATATACGGTATTTATTCAAAATAGAGCCCTTAAAATCGATCAATGTTTCAACCAGCCCAATCAGGTAGTCGATGTCACGCGGTGCGCACACGCACGAGATGCAGATGTTACGATGTTTTCTTCGCCGAGCTGTGCAATTTGATTACGGATGTTTCATTACCAATACCATTGACCACTTCCGTGATAAATCAACATCTCAGCACCCAACCCGAGGTGCCGATACTTCGTTCTCTGGAGCTATTCGAACGCCGCAAAGATATACCCACGGAATCAGATTGCAACGAGCAGCGCCGTTCTGCCAACCGGCTGCTCAAGTAAAGTCTACGCAAGGATCGCGAGACATGGTGGTCTGAGCGTGCTTTAGAGATGGAGAGCGCTACGCTCTCTGGTAACACTCACAGGCGTTTCCAACTCATTCGGCCCATTGGCCTCAGGAAACCTGGTGTCTGTGAGGTCATTTGTGAGGTGGATGAGTCTCCGATCACCAACCAACAGAGGCGTATTTACCACAGTTCAACTGGCCTCCACCATCCATCAGTACATGCACTACTACGTGTTGTCCACCCTGGCTCGTCCCACTGAATCCACCCAGCGATATATATATATATATATATATATATATATATATATATATAATACACAATCTGTGGTACAGATATTGTGCCATCGGAATCATGGCTGAATAGGAAAACAATATGAAAAATAAGAAAAGAGCAACAAGAAATGCTTTTTTTGTCAAGTTTACCACTCACAGTTTTTGAAATATTTTTTCAGTTTGTTCTTTTTTAGGGGGAGGAAGAAGGGACAACGCAACACACTGATGCACACGTCCGCCATTGACATCGATCTTGAGCCATAACTTCTAAGGTTTTCAACCAGCAAGTATCCTCATCTCTCGGACCCCAACCAGGTAGTCGACAACAACCGGCCTAGGCCAATTGTTTCGTCAACTTTTTCATGCGGCTTCTCCATGTTGTAGGCTGTCCACCAGACCGTCTCTTCCAGCCCTGTCCAGCAAGTGCAGACAACGCACGACGGGGGTAACGCTGGACAGGCATGCGCAATACGTGTCCCAACCACCGCAGTTGATGCAGTGAGATGAGCTCCTCGAGCGAGTGGCTTCCACGTCCCAAGACACGCTGTCTAACTTCCACATTGCTTACGTGCTGCTGCCACCACACACGGGCAATGGACCGCAGACAGCGGTGCTCGAAGACGGATAGCCTGCGCAAGTCAACTTTACGAATGGGCCATGTCTCGCATCCGTACAACAGTACAGCACGAACAGTTGCACAATAGACCCGCCCTTTGATGGAGAGACGAATGTCGTGGCGACGCCACAAATGCCTCAGCCTAGAAAAAGCGAGGCGTGCTCTCGAGATGCGCATCGAAATCTCGTCTCCAACAGTCCCGCCAGCAGTGATGCAACTTCCCAAGTAGACGAAGTTCTCCACAACCTCCAGTGTCTCACCAGCAAGCGTGAGTGCATGCAGAGGTACCTGCCAGTCTTGAAGGTGAGCCTTGCATTTGGATGGCGACAAGTACATACCGTACTTTGATGCTTCAATCGTCAAGCGGTTTAATGCAAGTTGGACGACCTGTGGATCGTCACCCAGCAAGACGATATCATCAGCATAATCCAAATCAACAACTCGACTACCTGGGAGGAGCTCAACGCCAGCGTTCAACGAATCGCTCAGAGCGTTCTTCAGGACATCTTCAATGGCAAAGTTGAATAGGAACGGAGAGATAGGGCATCCTTGTCGAACTCCACTGGAGACCACTAAGGTAGGCGAAAGCATGCCATAAGCCCTAACCCTGCCCGAGGTCAGAATATATAGAGCGCGCAGTATGGAGACGAACCTCTCGGGGACACCGTTCCTCAGAAGGCACTGCCACAGTACTGGACGATCAACAGAATCGAAGGCTGCACGGATATCCAGGAACACAACAATCATTGGCCTCTGATACACATGGCGGAGCTCGAGGATCTGGCGAAGTGTGAAGATTTGATCGATGCAGCCGCGACCAGGGCGAAACCCAGCTTGTTCTTCTCGTTGCAACGATTCGCGTGTTGGGGATAGCCTGCGAAGTGTGATGGACACCAGCAGCTTGCAAACGACGGGGACTAAGCTTATGCCTCTGTAGTTGGAGCAGATTGTGCGCAGGCCCTTTTTGAAGATGGGTACGACTATCGATTCACCCCAAAATGATGGAACCTTCTCTTTCGACCAAATTTTCGAGAACAAAGCGGTGAGTTCTCGGACCAGCGATGCGCCACCATCTTTAAATAGAGCTGGGTGAAGACCATCAGGGCCGGGGGCTTTATAACGCTTCATGTGCTGGAGCTCCTGCTCGATTTCCTGGGAAGAGGGAGGGTCTGTTGGGGTAGACCACTCAGCCCCAGCGCGAGCGCCAGAGGTAGCAGATGGAGCTGGGGGCCAACAAAATTTGCGAGCCAAAATGTTAGGCCCATCGCTCCAACCGTCGTTGAAGATTGGTGATTAAGGTGCCATCCTCTTCGCATATTGTTTCACTTATACCAGATCGAACACCTTCGGTGACTCGAAGGAGATGGAAGAGTTTCCTGGTATTACCACAGAGACTAGCAAGCTCCATCTCCCTAGCACGTTCACACCACCAAGCTTCGCGGTCCATTTGCAGACTCCTGCACAACTCTCGACCAAGGTATTGGCGTTCTTCAATGTGTCTGGAATCCGATGGGATCAAGCGGCGTCTGTCCATCAGCGACAAGGAGTCGGCGGAAATCCACTGTTTTGTGGGTGACGGGTAACTCCACAAGTGTCGATACTGGCGGAAACTAACGCATCTTTGATATGCGCCCACTGCGAATCGAGATCACCGTCAGTAGTTGAGCCAAGAAAGTTGACAGTGAGGCTTGGTACCTGGTTAAAACCGCAGCGTTTTGTAGATTCGCGACGTCCGGTCGGTAGTGGGCGCGCTTAGGTGATCCTCCGAAACGCATGCAAATCTTAGGACGAACCAATGCGTGATTAGAGTCTAGAAAAGTTGACCAGTACGATCGGCAGTCCGTTACGCTTCCGCGCCATCTATAGCTGATTGCTATATGGTCAAGCTGGGAGCACTCTTGCGTTTGTGAGGGTAGCAGTCTGTCTCCTCGAGTGTCGAAAACTAGTGCTCGAAAGAAACAAGCGATGATCAGAGCAAAGAGCAAGTAGTCTGTCTCCATTGTCTGATCGACTGCCACCGAGACCAAAACTACCCCCAATGTGGTGCTCGCTTGGTAGAAGGCGGCCAACCCGTGCGTTAAAGTCCCCGGCAAGAATGACTATATCCGTCCGTTTGGAGGAACGCAGAAGTTCATGTAGTTGTTGGTAAAAGCTATCCTTGACTGCATCCGGGCTGCAGTCTGTAGCGGCGTAGGCGGAGACGACAAATAAGGCACGCTTAACATCTCGACGCCTGCTTACGTTACATGAACCTCTTAGTCTGACTGCACATAGTCGGCTGTTGACTGGGATCCAGTCAAGCAGAGCTGATTCAGCCCTGGCACTTAATACAACCCCAACACCAGCTTGACCAGTGGCGGCAGATTCTGGGTCTCCGGAAAGCCGCAAGTAGTAGTTGGCGTCAGAGTTTACCGGAGAGGCCATTTTGATGACGGCGCTAGAGTCTTGTAATCTGGTCTCTGAAAGACAACAGATGTCTACCGATAGCGTTTCAAGAGTACGGCCCAGACATGTTCGTCGTCCGATCTGCATCAAAGTTCGAACATTAAACGCTGCGAGGATGAATGGAGAACCAGGTCGAAGAAGAGCTGGAGCTTCGGTGGAGTGAGAGGCGGTTGCGATCGCAGGACATTGAAAACCGGGAGTTTGGCTGTTACTTCCATCAGCTGCGAGACGTAGGTCGTTTGTGACCGTGACCGTAGAAGACACAAGAGTACATGTAGGTGAAGGACGGGAGGTGGGGTGGTCTGTGAGTGGACGTTGAGCGGTTGAGTTAAGACAGAAGAGCGGCATAGCAGTAGTAGTAGTGAGCGGTGTAGTCCATGATTCGTCAGTGGGCGTGATACTATCCGGTTGCCCAGGCCGAAGTAGAGGGTTGTCTTAGGGGGCCCTACCCCGAGCCTTTGATCAAAGATCTAACCTACAAGGCAGCAGGGCGATGTGAGGGCGTCGAACCCGTCGTAGATGGTTCATACGCCTTTCGGTCCGTGAAGGACCAGGGGCCCAACTCACCCTTAAAGTACAATGTCTCTCAGGGAGGGGCAAGGGGCAGTGACTTTATTTAGTGGCGAGTCACATCCGCCACGTTGCAGTGTTGTTAAACGGACGTATGTGGCTTTTTATAGGGAGAACGCTTGCCAGGCGAAAATCCACCACGTCCTGGAACACTGCCGCCGAACCATTCGTTGGAACGGGAAAAACCCGAACCACCCAGCTGGCACCACGAGGAGGTTGTTCGGCAAGCCAGCCGTGGCCGAGTGGTCTGCACGTTCGCTTTGTAATCATAAGGTCACCGGTTCGAATCCGCGTAGGGGTGGGCGTCCTCGCGGTATACTCAGCCCGCGCGCGACTGATGGTGGTCGCGCGGCAGCGAAGCGCCGTTACGGCGTGCAGCTGACACATCCACCCAGCGATGCGGAAGTCTGCCTCGAGATTCGACGCTTGAAGCGTTTCAAGGCTGCCGGCTTAGACGGACTTCTTCCGGAACTATTCGAGTACGGCGGTGTGGCGATCATTAATCAGCTGACCGCGCTGTTCGCAAAAATTTGGCATGAAGAGAAAGTGTCTTCCTCTTGGGGCGAATCAGTCATTGTCCCGATTTTCAAGGAAGGCGCTCGCACTTCATGTGCAAATCATCGAAGGATTAGTCTTATTTCGGTTGTTACTAATATATTGGCATCCATTCTGCTTCGCAGACTATCCCCAGTACGTGAATCATACTACCGTGAAGAACAAGCTGGTTTCCGTCCTGGCCGCGAATGCATGGATCAAATCTTCACGCTCCGCCAGCTCCTCGAACATCGCCACATTTATCACAGGCCCGCTATCGTTGCATTCCTAGACATACGTGCCGCTTTTGACTCCGTTGATCGACCTGCTTTATGGCGTTGCATGCTAAAGAACTGCGTGCCAGAGAAATATACCGCTATCTTACGAGCACTTTACCTTCATACATCCGGCAAAGTGAGGGTCTATGGCAAGCTTTCCTCGCATTTCGCTGTCAATAGCGGTGTGCGACAAGGCTACCCTATGTCCCCATTCCTCTTCAACTTCGCAATCGAAGACGTTCTGTCGAATGCTCTAGAAGGTTTCCAACATTTTGGCCTAGAGCTTCTACCGGGTGAGCGCGCGACCGACTTAGATTATGCTGATGATATCACCTTATTTGGTGACGATCCTCGGGATATGCAACTCATTCTGGATCGTTTGGCGGTTGAAGCATCTAAGTATGGCATGAGCTTCGCCCCATCGAAGTGTAAAGTACTGCTCAATGATTGGCTTTCACCTGCTCCCATGCTCACTTTCGAAGGTGCACAACTCGAACAGGTAGATAGTTTCGTCTACCTTGGGAACTGTGTTTCTGCTGACGGCACTATCAACAAAGAAGTTTCTCTTTGTATCGCTAAAGTTCGATCGGCATTTGTCAAACTGAGGCACTTGTGGCGTCGTCGCGACGTCTCATTCTCACTAAAGACCCGTGTTTACAGCGCATCAGTTCGCTCAGTATTGTTGTATGGGTGCGAGTCCTGGCCGATTCGCGTGGAAGACATGCGTCGTCTTTCTGCCTTCGATAACGGTTGCTTAAAGAGGATCGCTCATGTTTCGTGGCAACATCGAGTTAATAGTAGTGACGTTCGTCGTTGCATTTTGGGGGATGCGTTCCCTTCAACAAACTGGTTTTGTTGTGCCAGTTAAGATGACTCGGTCACGTCCTACGCATGGCACCTGAGCGTCTACCGCGTCGCGCTCTATTCGCTCGTCAAGGACCTGGCTGAAAGCGACCGTGTGGTGGTCAGCCTTCCACTTGGCGACATCACATGAAATCGCTGACGTCGTGTCTAGCAGTTGTTAGGTCCGTACATATTCCAGAATGCGGACCCAAAGATGAGGAGTGCCAATGGCTTAGCACTCTTGCGGACATGGCTCGCACCCGGAATCAGTGGAAGAATTGTGTACAGTATTGTATTGAGTCACATGTTTAATACTGCAATCATGGAAAATGAAAAAATGAGAAAACTCGGCGTGTTAAAGTCAAACTAAAAATGTTTTGTTCTACTTTTTGCCAAAATGTCCAATTCTTCCTACGGCATATTAGTTGAAGTGTGTTGCTTACCTTCAACTAACATTCCACGATGATTATGACGCAGTGACTTCCCCTTATCTGCTAATCCATGGCTTTGTTGGCTCTATGTCTAGTTGCTAGGCTGTCGACATGGTTGGCGGCATCCGTTTTCGGCTTTGCCTGTCACTCTGGCCAGCCACAGGACGCCTGCGCCTACAGAGGGACCATGGGTGGCTTGCGCTGCACCACCCACAGCTCCAACCACATATCCCATATCCAGTGTAAACCCGAAGGAATAAGACCGGAAAACATGCGGATGGGAGCCACGTTTCATCAACGGAGCCGGCCCACACTCCTTCACAGGCAAACACAAGCGCGCTGTATTTGGGAATCAAGCGCACATAAGGCGGTGGCTGAACCGTAGTCCACTCCACACTGAGTGCATGGAACCACTCTTTGATCCTAACGCGGCCAAAAGGATCGTGCACCCCGTCCCCTCCAGCAACGAGCAACTGTCTCCTCGAGTCAGTATGGATGAGGTAGTGGATAGTAGACAGGTAGGCACCTTGTCAACTTGCACATCAAGCGCTGTCACACCGGGGATATCAAGCAACAGCCAATCACTTGAGAGAGATACAAAGAAGATAACTCAATTAATGCATAAGGAAACGGTGACATAAACCTTTTAATGAGCACATGAAATAAGTTGTTTACAACCGAATACTAGATAAGTTCACGAGGACAGAAAATATACTATACGGAAATGCCACGAACATGAAAATGTTATGGAAATCGAATACAATTGGCTTAAGCGAGGTGTGCAAGCTAATGGAATAGAGTACAGGCAGACATGTATTTGTGAAAGAAAAGCATTAAGGCAAAATTGAAAACCCACCACCTGAAATAAAGTGACTGCATACAGGCACGCGGTTAGTAAATCGAATGCAGCGTACCTACAAACGCTGCGCCGGTGCTGTCTACGTTCTCTGCAGGACCCGTCATCGTTTCTGTAGTGGTCCCGAGTGGCCTCGCTCATGGCTCACTAGGCCTGCCTGACCCAGGCACTCGCGACCGCATGTGCTACAGCACATGCGCTCGATGTTGATGGAGAACAACCCGTTGGCGCTTGCCGCTTCTTCTCTGCATGCATAAGGGCTTTCTCCTGCACCTCGGCAACTGCCTTCGTGAACAGATCGCGCCATGCATGCCGATCAACCACCTTCGATTCCCATGATCTGCAATCAAGATTAGAACGTGTGAGGCTCAGTTTGATCATGTCCTGGTAACGTAACTTCGGTTTCCCCACATGCCGCTTCCCAATACTCAGCTGACCATATAATAGCTGCTTCGGTATCCTTGTCGAATCCATACGGCTCACATGACCGATCCACCTCAGGTGTCTGAATAAAAGTATGCCGTCCACTGCATACATCCCATTTCGGCGCAACATTTCCGTGTCTGCAACTTTGTCGCCCCAGTCGATGCGCAAAATCCGTCGCAGACACTGCTGATGGAATCGCTCGAGATATCGCACATCCCGCGGGTACATCGTCCACCACCGTTGACATACATACATACATACACCGATACTTCGACTTGTTGCAAGGCACGTATGCTTTGACCGATGGGGCGAAAACGATTGCCATCGGCTATGGTCACTGTCCGGTTTCCTTGTCATTTGTATTGCTAGGAAACAGTGAGGCAATATTACAAGGCAACAAAGCGGGAACTGAGGTTAGTGGGGTCACGACGAGAATTACTGAAAATCGATTACGTAGTGTGAGTTGTGACAGTTCGGTCTATTGCTGGAGGACTGTTGCTAATGAACCACTTCCCATTGAGCTAATCGAGCCAAACTTTTATGTCTGATGAACATCCCGTTCAGTAGAACTTGTATAAGTTCGCATTTTATACGTGACAACTGCCGTACCGCTGTATCCTGCTTTTGCTATTCCAACTCAGACTACACGAACCCTTTCGATCCTACAACGTTGAAAAGTCCGATCAGTGTATAGTCTGGTTCATACTTCCAACAATGAGATAAAATTCAATTCAGTGATTTACTGTCTAGCCGGGTTGTTGATGGTCTCTGTTCGTCAAGGTCGCTGGACGGCATGTTTGTTTTTACCACTCGTTCTGTGAGTGGCTGGCGTGAAGGCCAGGCTCACGGTCGGTCACAATTGACCGGCAGTGTAGCTTCGTGGAATACATTGACCTTGTTCTGCGCACACGTTGTCGCATATGGTGCAGTAGGTCAACGCTGTGTGCTTTCAATGTTCATGGTAAGTGGATTCAATTTGAGAGTTAGAACTAAATTCCGTGCCTCCGGGTGCACCGCATTTGCTCGATGGCGTACACGTATCCTCTCTAATGTGACTCAGTTCCTTACGTAAATTTCGTCCTTTTGCTCCACTCCGGCTGCATGATACAGGAGTCAGATTTGAATTGCACTGTTGCCTCATTGTCTTGTTGCTTCACTCCCGAATCTAGTACTTCCTTGTGGATAGGTATCAAGCAGTTTACACTTTCATTGACACTGATTTTCGATAGCACAAGCTGAGTAGTTGGACACTTTTGTGACCCGTCATTCACTAATAACACATTCTGTGGGCATTTTCTTCACCGACATGGTGGCTTATTGTTCCCTTGTGTTCCTTTATTTCCTTTTTTAATCACCTACGCGAATTTACTGAAGCTGTGACTGTTTGCGCTATTTCATGTGGACAAAGCTCAGATGTGCTCTGTGGTTCTGTAAGAAACCTTGCACCACTTCATTTTTGGTATCTTATATTGGGCATGCCACGTATCCAACGCAGTTTTCCTTGCTATTGTTGATTCCCCTTCGGTATCCTCGGTGAACGAGCCTAGTCGGTTTGGCGGCTGAAGTTCAAACGATTCTTTGTCAGCCGAATGAACTGGTGGGTTTTGCTTTCTCCCTCAGTATCAGTTTATGGCACCTGTTCAACCAGTGCGCCGTCATCAATAGGCGGTTTATTTTTCCTGTTTCATTTAGATGTGTACATGTCCACCCTCCTTCCCAATTGCTCACTGTGCAGTTCCGTATCGGCTCTGCTGTCTCACACTACTCTTGCCTATTACTATTTATCTTACTGGGATTTGGGTGTTAACCTACGGAGCCTCTGGCTGGTTACGCGTGTGCGGAGCACGGTGTCTTGATATCACAGGCATTCTGATACCTCATATATAAGCTCGTGCAATTATTCCTATCTACGTTCTCACTAACTAACCTCACTTCAACCAGCTCTGCAGATAGCAAATCTAGGCTTCCGCGCCATCTGGTAGATACCGCTTGCTGCGTGTGTTGATTGAAGGTCCCATTATCTTTCTTGGCCTGTTTTATGCCGGGGTGTTTCAAACCATCACACTGCGATGGCCGCATTGGTTTTCAATAGCTTTTAGTCTATTCTTCATAAGTGGTCATTTCCTTATTTCGGAGTCTTTTCTTCCTATTTGGGTTGGTATTCGTCTTTCTCGGCTTCCTTGTCTCTTAATACTCTTGTCTGTGTTGTTATGCATCAAATTCCCACATCTCATCATGTGACCAGACAGTGCGACATCCTCCATCGCTGCTGCTATGGGCGCAACGTTCACCTTACTACGACGAAACCAAGGTTCCCTAGGCGTTTTACAGCTTACTCTGTTCCCCACCTTGGCCCTCATTCTTACCCAAAGTATTCTTCAGTCATTCCTGGAAATTAGATCTTCGTCTTGCCGGCACATCATTATCCACCATGGATCACGTTACTAATTTGATTTTGTTGGCCCCTTAGGGGGTTGGGTTGACATGAATCCCACTAATGAGTGATCTTATTTAATAAATGGAACTGTATGTTTGTGATCCTCATACTGATCTTCAAAATACTATTTAGACAATTTCTGTTTCAGTCCCAATCACTGGCTTATTTGGCCAGAGATGACTACCGTTTCTCCTCCCTAACCCTTACTCTGTCAGCTCCGTCTCGAGTGGACACTTGTGGGCACTGATTCGCATCGTTTCTCTTTGGTTCACTTCACGGTCTGGTCACTATGCCCCACAACACAGCATGAGTTACGAGCGGCCCTCTTTTGTTATTTGTCTGTTTACACTTTGTGAGTTTGACTGGGCGCCTGCATACCCAGATGTTCATTCGATGCACATTTTTAACTTGCTTGCTCTCGATTATTTCCCCATGGTCGATTTTAGGCCCTGAACAGAGGCAGTCCTCTCTGATCGAACGATCCATTCTGTTCGAAATATTTGTGCGGAAAGGTCTTCCCATAAAGTAGGTGAACATTTTACGTACGCTGTACCCGAACACCACTGGCCGCTTCAGCGTCTACGGTGACTTAACAGATATCTTCCCGATAACAAGTGGCGTTCGTCAGGGTCGTCCACTTTCCCCACTTTTGTTCAACTTCGTTGTGGACTCCATTAAGCTTTGTTCCCTTGCTTAGCCTCCCGATGCAGGCGTTGAGGTTCTGCTTGGTGAGAAAGTAGTTGAGCTTGATTATGCGCTCGATGTTGTATTGTTGTTTAACGAGGTTGGGGTAGCCGACTCAACCCTGGTTTCCCCTCCTGGACTGATCCCATCACTTAGCATGCGCTTCGCACATTCAAAGTGTCAAGTGTTGTTACAGGACCACCAGCCACTTGATGGCGAGGAACTTGAGATAGTTGATCAATTTAATTACCTTGACAACTATAAGCACTGATTTTGGCTCATGTATTGCAAAAGCTAGGACTGCCTTTTTTAATCCGTGATATCGTTGGGGACAGAAAGGCCGTATTTACAAGACCACCATGAGCGCTGTCCTACCCTGTGGTAGTGAGACTTAGCCGCTTCAGTCTGAGGAGCCTTAAATACTTTGCTTATCATTTTCTGCAAAGTATTGGCAGTATCGGATGGCACCAGTGTGCCCACAATGCTAATTTGGGTAGGCAGATGGTAGGCAGTGATAGTCAAGCTATTTCATTCAAACAACAAATAGCACTGCATAAGTTGCATTGGCATGTGCACGTACTACTTTTGCCCGGGCACTGCTTACTGAGAAGGGCTTTGTTCTGTCTCCCGGATGTAGAGTATCACAAGGCTCGAGGTGGACAAAAGTTGACTTGGCAGCGGGAAATGAAGTCATTGTCTACAAACGTGCTGCTGTTGGTCTGCCTCCCTTTCCATGCTGTAGTTTACGTGACTCACTTTGTCTGGGCTTGCATTCGACACCGATTTCATGTCCGCCACCGTCCCCTAGTCGGACTGCCTGTTTAAAGTGTACTTGGTGCTGAGTTATCTACGGAGTAGCGACGCGGGTCAATGAAACCATCAAGGAAGCTGTCTCGCTGATGCCGCCTTATCTGTACGGTAACCAACTATTTGTGACGGTATGTTGCTGAGTAGATGCAGTGGCCTTGACCCTAATGTTTGCTTAGGACATTGTGAGTTTACATCCGGTCCCCTTTCTCACCCTCTTATTGTCCTTCGTTCCGCAGATCACTGTAGTTTTATGACAGCGAAGCATCAGCTCAAATGGCTGATATACTGTTGTTGATGATGATGACAATCCCCTCCGTGACTTTATGGGTAGCACGGGCCGATCTACCTTTAATAATTGGTTCGCCTTACCCTGCAAGTCGGGCTTTTGATATCAAGGCGGGAGAGCCTATGGTGCACAGAGGCTTGTGGTGGCTAGATCCTGTCAGATGGTCCACCCACTCCTGGTAATATTATGCCGTGGGCTCATGTTCTGAACGCCTCCTCATGGCGACCGCTGGGTGGAAGTTGCGTTATGCCCTTCTTCTAGCTAAGAGCCAAGACTCACCAATCTGCATGAGTCGGTGAACTGACCATGTGCTAGACCCACTGCCTTTCGGGTGTACATTTAATCAAAGGCTTTGGCTGAGGACCCAAGTCGTTCTCCTGTCAGGTGTGGGCGCCCTTCCATTATCCTAGTCCACACCCCATCCTCTTCGGAGGTTAGCAAGTGGTCGATGGCCCTCTTCTCGTAAAACCGAGCCATGGGAGACAACAGGTCTACGGGTTATAAGCTCACAGCTCCATTGGCGTAAATCATGAGCGCCACGCATTTTCTGTGATGGTGACAGGGCACCTCCGGGTGTTCAATGGTTTGCTACTGCTCGGCTCAAGCCAGGCGGCCCATGGTCAAATTGGTGCAAACCCGCCAAAACCCACCTGCGTCTGGCCGTGGTCGCAGGTGCGTATCTTAACACTGTCGCAAAAAATCATATGTATTGTTCCAGATCCTCGAAGACTGCGTGCGACAGACCTCAACTAGGTCACAATAGGTCTCTGTAATCACATTCCCAAGCTGGATCTGCTCCCCACTGCCTTGTGGGTCAGGCTATTGAGCCAAGCGCTCCGAGTGGAGTCCCTCAAACAAACCTCCGAAACACAATCACCACCACTCGTGCGATTGCCCACCAATTCATTCGCATGCCTGCGCGCAAGGCACTCAACATCGAGTCCTGGAACGTGTGCACCGGAACTCGAGTGAGCCCTTCGAGCGGCGCACTGCACTGGTCGCGATGGAACTGACGCGCTACCACATCAATATTGCGGCGCTCAGTGAGTCACGGCTCGCTGAGCAAGGTAAGTTGCATGAAGCAGGTGCTAGCTACACATTCTACTGGGTGGGCAACGCCACCTCAGCACCACGTGAACATGAGGTCGGATTTGCAATATCCGATCGCCTCCATGGCCAGGTCGTTGGTGAACCAACAGGCACCAGCGCGCGACTGATGACTATTCGCCTACGACTCGGAAGTGGTAAGTTTGCCGCTTTTATAAGCACGTACGGTCCGACCATGTGTTATCGTGATGACACGCGTGATCAATTCTACACCTAGCTATCCTCCGTGGTGCGGTCTTTGTCGAGGAGCGACCGACTATTTCTGCTGTGTGATTTCAACGCGCGCGTTGGGCGTGATGCATCGGCGTGGGCAGATGTCATCGGTCCGTATGGCATTGGTTCAGCGAATGCGAACGGTGACAGGCTGCTCTCACTGTGTGCCACTCACGGCCTGACGATCACGAACACTCGGTTTGCACTGAGTGCGAGTGATATAGCAACTTGGACGCACCCACGGAGTGGCCACGCGCACCTGCTCGACTATGTCAGCGTACGTCAGCGTGATATGCGTGAAGTGCGCATGCTACGTGTACTGCGTGAAGCTGAGTGTGGCACTGATCACAAATTTGTGCGGACTAAGCTGTACATATGTTTTCGTAAATCTACGTATTGCACTACTTTCGTGAACCGGAAGATA